TCAGAGAAGACCAAGATCCACTGCTGACTTTTTGAACTGCTGTACATTTGAACAGAACACTTCATCTTTTTTGGACACATTTTTTTTAAAGGGTACATATCATGCTTTTAAATCATTCATTTTTACTTAAATCATACATTTGTGGTCTGTATAAAACATAACTGCAATGCTTGGGTCTGAATTCCTCATTATTATAGCTCCACATCACATGCCCCTTTTCTGATGTGCGTCTTTGAGCGACCCGTTTCAAACGCGGCCCCTTTAAATAAAAAGGAGTTGCGTCATATCCCGCCCGCTCTCCAGGTCGATGAGTTCTCGGTCGGTTCAACTCCCCGCGTTCGGCCATTATTGTAGTTTGATTAGAGATATACGCTTACTAGCTTCGAAGAACATTTTTATTCACGTTAACAAAATGTCAACAACAGAAGACTTGTCCAGCAAGCCTTACATATTCGAGCCAGAGCGAGCGAGTTGATAAAGACGACGACGAACCTGCAGAACAACGTCTTCATATGGATGCAGTGGTATGTAAGTTAACTATGTTGTGTTATTAGTGAAAGTCGACTATTTCTCTTGTTAAAACAAGCACACTGACAAGATAAATGACTACGGTCTAATCTTACAACTAAAAATTTGTAATGATAATATAATAACTTACGTTTAGAAAGCTTCAGAAAACACAGCAACTAAATGATAGATGGAATTTACCCCTCATTCAGACGAGATCGATCGGCAAACCCTTCTTTATACTATGTTGTTGAAGTGGGAATCCTTGAAGGGCTTCAGGTCACTACATCCAACAACCGAACATTTTGACTAGCCCTCTCGTAACTACAAAATCGGAGTGAGAAATAATAATGGTGGATTGCTCGAAGGTAGTCAATGTCCTTATTTGGCAGTTTCGCTGCAAATACTGTGACGTAATTGTTCAAAAAACGTCATAGAAAACAGAAAAATCTGAACAGGTTGAAAAATATGACCAAAACAGAATATAAAGATATAAACGAAGCACCTGAAGAGAATAATTTCATCGTTTCTGTACTTATAAACACTCCAAATATACAACAAAATGCATTTAAGGGCTAAAAAAGTGGATTTTTTGCATGATATGTGCCCTTTAAATCATTACTATTTTGTAAATCAATTATTTTGCTGGCACTGTCATTCATTAATTCAAAAATACACAAAATATTTGTATTTCTGATCATCTTTCTAATAAAATTTGAAAAACTTTCTTGTGCTAATATTCAGCCAACTCAATGCTAGCCTAACTTGCTTATCCCTAGAAATGGCCCTGCTCACAACCATCATGTCATACCATGAATAGTTCGCACACCTTTCAAGCAAAAACTGTTGGGAATACATTGGTGTATGCGTTCAAGAACTTGCGAGGGCCACTCGATATCAAATTACCACTTGAATCTGATACCGTCAATGTTATGCAGTCCTATTTTTATAAGGGAGACAACCGAAAGGAATACAATGTAGTATTTAAATAGCATTCTTTTTACATTTACACTTAAAAGCAGACGAAAATGAGTGGGAAAATGCCCTACAAAGCAAAAAGGCAGTAACTGCAGTTTTGGTAAAGCATTAATTATTACAATTTTCATGTCATTTAAGGCATCCTTTGTTATGTGACAAAACATCTTATCTTAAATGCGTGTCGTTTTAGAGAAAAATGGTAGTGGTTTGTACAGTAACTGCAAAAAGCCCTAGCAAAAGTCATTTTTCTCAGTTCTGCACTCTGCGTAGTAGTTACTGCCTTTTTGCTTTGTAGGGCAGATATTGTGTGCACATATAATTTGGTATTTACAGGAAGAGTGGGAATAATGTTACAGTACATCTGTGGAGCCCACACATTTAACATTTCAAGAGAACTTATAAAGTAACACCCATCATAATGAGCCAACATTCACTGTGAGTAATATAGAAACTGTATTTTGTTTCTCACAGCTGACTGTCTCATGGTGTTTTAGGCCAAGATGGTTAACCACACTGAAGTGTGAGCATTCAGAACAAAGCGGTTAGAGTTTGTCTCAACATTACCTCTGAAAGTGTCAAACAACATCAGCGTCACATATACGAGCCCCCAAACCAATGTCCTGTAGAACTGCAAAAGAGACAAAAATGTGACACAAACCTCAGGATGAAGTGTTGCAATCTAAAGGCATATTTCACACAGTTCATCTACTTTAAAGTGGCGGAAGTGCTGCAAACTTCTTTTGCTTTCTTATTACGCGCTACAAGCCATATAAAACTATTTACCATTTTTTTTTATGGAAAGGAAGCCATGCATCACACATTTTCCACATGATGAACCCGTAAGTTAATAACCCCAACACACACACACTCACATTCAGTTTCAATGAAACTCATTATTGTGCAATATTGTTTTAGTATCATTGGTATACTAGTTTTTGTTCATTATATTTTATATTTCAGTTTTTTTTTTATACAGGTTTTGTAATTATGTTTTTCCACCATTTGTATTAGGTAATTAACAAATAAATATGTCTAAATAGTTTTTTTTAGGTTCTTGTTAATTCCGTTTTTTTATTTTTATTTTAGTACTTCCGCTTAAACTAATGAAAATGAGAAATGTAGCCTTGACAACTAGCTAAAATATAATATTTCATTTTAGTATATATATATATATATATATTTATTTATTTATTTTAGGGCTATCAAACGATTAATTGCATTCAAAATAAAAGTTATATATATATTACTTTTATTTTGAATGCAATTAATCGTTTGACAGCCCTAATATATATATATATATATATATATATATATATATATAAATAATATAATAAATAAATAATAATAATAAATATAATATATATATATATAAATAATATATTATAAATATATATAATATATATAAATTATAAATAAACAGTATATACATGAAAAATATTTCTTAAATATATACAAGCATGTGTATGCGGCAATATGTAAAAAAAAAAATCTAGTTCTTAGAGTTTTTGTGTCAGTACTACATTAATCTACTATATATAATATTGAATATGCTTGAAGTATAATACTGCAAATATATTTGTGGGTCCTGATAATGCCAAATTATGTTACCAGTAAAAAGTGGCCTATGTTATCTAGTCAGTACAAGCATGTTTGTCTAAAATAATTCTGTATTTTCAGCTTTAGAATCATGAATATAAAAATAAATTAACATTTTAAAATTCAGGAAGGAAATGTAAGGAACGGGTTTAGGTGCTTAAGGAATACAAAATATACAAAACATCATTAGCTCAGCATTACAACCATAGAAATCAATGAAAAACCCCACCATTGACCATCAAACTGAAACAAACAGTCTGTGTGTTTTGAAGTCATTGTGAGTTTTTGCACATTGGAGAGACTATACCTAAAGCTAAAAAGAAGACAAACTGGTTTTAACCTGCTGTCATCATGGGGAGAGAATAGGAATCTGCTTCCCAAACAAGCAGAACAAAACACATATACATATACATTAACTGTGTTCCCAGTTAAAACTAATTTTACATTAAAACCACTAATGTAAACAGACACACAAACGTATAGTACTAGCCATGTACTCATATGATCACCACTGGACATCAACATAGTCTATTCAAACAAACAGCAGGTATTACTACTATTAGCAATAAGGAAGATTTTACATGAAATGAGGAGACATCTTACCATGTTGGAGGAGTTTCCAGACATTTGTGTCTGACAACGTCAGGGTTGCTGACACTTCATTTGAAGACACCAGGAAATAGTAAGGTGACACACTGGCTGAGCTACTCCTCCTTGACTTTAACTGCTCCACCCACCCTTCCTACAAACATCCACCTACAGGTGGCACATTCCTGAAAACTGATCCTGACCTGTTGAGCAGAAACTGTCTATGGAAGAAACGCAAGAAGCTTGAAAAAAGAAAACTGAGTTAAACATGTGTTTCGAGGCGCAGATGGACTGCATGTGCATCCACATATTATTTTTTTACATTGTTTGACCAACAGAACTTTGGAAAAATATCAAAATAAATATATAAATCATTCATTGTTCATAAAGTGTGTATATAATTAATTTATTATATAATACAATACATTGCCTACCATTTATTGTAATCCGATTAATTAATTTAAATTCATTTTAAAACAACAACTATATATATATATAAATCAAGCATCAAATAATCAATCAAATAATTATATATATGAAGAGTTCAGATGCAAAAGCCTCTAAATGCCATTTGAAATTTTCTACATTACATTACATTACATTAAGTGATTTCACTTAAATGGCGATGATAATTACCTATTAATTGTTATTTAAGTGAAATTACTGAACTTAAATATACAAGCTTGATAAAAATCATCATTAAAGAAGAAAATTTCGAATGGCATTTAGAGGCTTTTGCATCTGAACTCTTCATATATATATATGTATATAAACACACACACATGCATGCATGTATATTTATGAAAAAAAAATTTATATACAAAATATAAATCTATATAGAGTATATACATGAAAATGTTTCTTAAATATGTACAAGCATGTGTGTGTATTTATATAAAATAATTATACACAGTGCACCCACATATATTATGTAAACAAAAACTTTTATTTTGGATGCGATTAATCACGATTAATAATTTATATATTAAATATATATGAAATGATCAGGTTTATTGAGGTCAGGTCAGGTCCCTAAAGGGAAAATTTACCCAAAAAAAAAAAAAAAAAAATCATCATTTACTCACCCTCAAGTCGCTCCAAACCCGAATAAATGTCTTCTGCTGAACACGAAGATACTTTTCAGTAGTATTTTTTCTTCTTCTCCATACTATGGAAGTCAATGGGAGCATCAACTTGTCTGGTTACCCATATTCTCAGGTGACTTAATTAGAGTGTCATTTGAAAAGTGTGCTTGTGCTATCTTTACCATGCCACTTTCAAAAAAGATGTTTTGTTATCATCTGCAATGACACATAATAACCACTGATTATTTATAGTTCAGTATAGCCGAGATAAGGGCGATATTGACATCTAGTGGCTCACTGTGGTACTGCGGTGTCGCAATTCAGTTAGTATCACGACAAACCAAACACCATCATATAAAATGAGTGCATGACTGCCTAACATCAACCGAAAAAAAAAATCGAACATTTCAAATTCTTAAAATCGCTTTAGATAATGTTTGACAGGGTCAGAGATCTCGACAAGACGATCCTCGTGGGAAACATCCACAGCTGTGTGACGGAGGAGATTCTGTTCGAGTTGTTTCTGCAGGTGAGCTCATCCAGGCCATCATCCTTCACCTGTTCACCTATTCACAGTCTTGCGAAGATTATTTATTTATATGCAATGCTCAAAGGATTCTTGTCTTCTAGTCAAATCGGTTATTGCTTCCCATATTTCTTGGGGACGTTTGCTAATGTTTAGAGCAGAGGCTTCAGTCTTTTAGATGCCATGGACTGTGTGTGTGTATATATATTTAATATATATATACTGGTTGTAATTCAATAATGATTTGGAATATAGACGTAAGAGATTGATCTCATTTTAAAGAAGACTTTTGGCAGATTTGAAACAGAAAAAAGTTATAGAAGTTTGAGTTTATGAAAAAGTTTATGTAAAAAATTATACATATTTAAATAAAATATATATGTTCTAAACCTGGGCTACTCTAAAACTGCAGAAAAATCAAAGCCAAAAATCTGAACAAGTTGTGTTTCAAATTTTAGGTTGATATCTGAAAGAAATTATCTTTCAGTGAGATTTGTTTGGGCGCAGTACCGAACGCTTCCACTAGGGCACAACCAAGAGGGGTTTCACGACGCGTCATCAATCCGGAAGTCGGCCATTTTGGAGGCACAGAACATAAACAATGCCATTGAACTGAACGGACTCGCAAATTTGGCTGATTATTTCTGCTGAAAAATGGTCGAGTTTTGGTCTATACTAATCGGTCGCATCGGGAAAATACCTTTCGAGTTCTATAGACTGTCAAAAGTTAAAGAGAAGAGTGTAAGTTAGCTTGAAACGGATTTCATGTGCCTTTCTGGGCTGACAATCTCTGAATCTGAACGTAGAATATGTTTGGATAATAAATAGAAGGAAGAATTGCAGTACGGGCTAGAGAAGCTAGCTCGTTTGGACCTTTACCACATAACTTATTAACTTTAGCTTATAAGTCCTTCTCGGTATGATGTCGTCTTTTTTTAGTGTAACAATGTGTTCAGTGGTACATAAACAGTGCAGTCCATGCTGTTGTTTACATCCGAGTGCCTCCATGATGGCCGCGCATCCGGGTTACCGTCCATAATGTGACGTCGGTGAAAACCCTGGGCGCCTCAACTTCCTTATGTGTTTTGAGTGATCTGAACCATTATTTACACAATTTTCATACAATTTATGAAGTAGAGATCCTATTCATAAGTAGAATGGGAAGTTTGGCAGATTTTGATATGAATTCAGCCTCTAAGAGACACATACAAGAACACGCATGTGCATTATAGCTTCCTGCCACATCACAAATGGTGAATTTATTATTATTTTCGTTATATTTAAAACATTTTCAGACCTTTTTTAATCTAAAATAATTGAATGGATGCAATCTTTTGAACTCTTGGCATGAAAACAAACTGAGGTTTCTTCCCTTCTTGCATGATTTTTCATGTTCGTCGCTATTTCAAAATAAAGGTCTTAACACGTCAAGAAAATATTCTTGTTGCAAATTGATAAGGCTCCTCTGTAATTTATTTCAGTCACCAAATATGGAAACTAGAGATTGTAAGCTTTCAAATGATATTTAGTTGTACTGAATATCATTACTTAAGGTCTTTTCTAAGATATTGTTTTAAAAATATAACGGCAAGCGTCCCACCTGTGGGACAGTGACAGTTAAATGGTAATTTATTGTGGTTATGTGATTATTATTATTAATAATATTCAAATTGTAATTTATTTTGATTGTTGGTCATTTGTTTTTGTTTCTTAATTTTTTAGAAAAAAAAATATTTTTTTGTTGTGTAAAAGTTTAAATGTTGCCTTTATACACTTTTTTTCCCTTCTTCATATATGATTCACTTACCAGGCTGGGCCGGTAAAGGAGGTGCATATATTCCGAGATGGACAGCAGGCTCCTTATGGATGTGTTTATTATAAGCATGCTGAAGCTGTCCCGTATGCAGTAGAACTTCTCAATGGAATCTGGCTCTATGGGCAGCCAATCAAGTTACAATGTAAAATTGGTGGGTAACTAAAATCAGTGTTGAGTTGACGTCAGACATGTTACCTTAACAGAATGCTTGTGCTTGGTTATTTTTAGGTGGCCATTATCACAGAAATCACATGCTTGCATACCACATGGAGAATGGACTGATAGCAAACAGGTGTGTCAGATTACAAAGAAAGGTACAGTTTATGCACTTTTGTCAGTGTTTTTGTTTATGGCAGAGTTACGGGTATTAAAAAAGGGCTGCATTTTTGTGGGTTGCTAATCACTGAACCACAGAGGTATTTCAGGCAACGAGGTATACTGTTTAAAAGTGGAGTCAGTAAGATTTTGTTTAGAAAGGAATGAATATTTTTACTCCGCAATGATGACACATTAAATTGATTTAAAAAAAGTGTCAAATAGATGCTGTTCTTTTCAACTCATTAAAGAATCCTCCTCAAAAATATTAAGCAGCATTTCCTGAAAATGAAAACGTTTATTTAATATTGTAATAAAAGTAGATAATTTACTGTATTTCTGATCAAATAAATGCAGAGCATAAGAGACTTCTTTTAAAAACATTGAAAATTCATTTGAACAGTATAGTGTTTTAGCATGTTGAAATGTTATGTGTTGTTTCAATTGTTTTTAACAGTGACATTTATTGCAATTTGGCATACTCCGTTATTTCCCTTCAACGTTTTTTCCATACAGTGCTGATGCTGTGCACCAGGACAATATGGTTTTGAATTTAAATGGCAGTCCAGCAGGTGTGGAGAACCGGTCTAATGAAGCATGTGGCTGGAGTGACATGGTAACATACACAAAAAGAAAAATATAATCATCGTGTTTCTTCCTTAAAGGTCGGGGAGGCAATTTTCGGAGGGGTTAGCAATAGCAAGCTAGCTTTGAAAGCATAAGATCCCACCCTCCCGAGTCGAAGTGCTCCCAATCACTTGCTGTGGTATTCATACAATATATTAGTTATACACTTTACACACTTGGAAAAGGGCAACGTTTTATTTTGTGTCACCATTCTTGGTCGCATTACTCTACTCGTGTAACTGTGGAGGTGTTTGGTCGCTTGTTAAGTGAACTGGGCTAGTTAAGTGCGACCAAAGTGTCAGAGTGATTGAGAGACGAGAGAGGTGTGCATCAACTCGTCTTAGTTAAGGGAATAACATAGTTTAATATGGAGTATCCCTTTAAATCTACAAATAGAGCTTACAAGAGTACACTTCAGAAGAAAATCAGAAAATAAAGTTTGTATTCTTTGTGTGTAGGTATACAGCAGCAGGCCTTTGGATGCGTGTCCTCCAGTTGTGTGGTACTGTCCACCCCTCCAGCAGTGGGGAAACTCTGGGTACCCTCCCTGGACGTCACGTCTGGATGAGGATCTGTTGCTCTATAGGTCAGCCAGCACCAGAGAAGGCTGTGCAAATGTAAGTCTAGAGGGTAAACACAGGGGGAAAATGCTATAAAATGCGACCCTAACAGCAAAAACGAGTGTAAATCTTATTTAAATGTAAAATCCAGATCATTTTCCACGTTTCATTTTCAGAGACAAAAATACAGTGGACGCTGTACAGGCATCCTGACTCCTCTTGCACAAAAAAGTACACCATATATTCCAGTGAGTGCTTTTGGTGGCACTGATTCAGACTGTAAGCTGTAAATCATTGATATCTGAGTGTGAATGGTCTAATAAAGCCATCTAAATGCAGCTTGCTGTTTCTTGACGCATTGAAACGCAAATCTGATGATCTGAAATGTTTGTTTTTGTGACTTGCTGGTAAACTTCATCTCATGTTGACCTCCGGTAGGACTCTGCATCATAAGCAGTTGCAAAGTCAAATGAGGAAAAGTAATAGCATAATGATTGATTGGTCAATTAGTATTTTTACAATGACATATTTAGTGGCGGGGATAAAATATTAACTTGTCGTAAGATGATGTATATTATATTGGATGATAATTTATGGCCATTTCTAAGGGCAACTTTAATCGTTCTGTTATTACCTTGAAAAGTCTGTTGTGGGTTAGACAGTGAAAGCCTCTCCTTCTCTTCAATTGAACTGGTTTGATAAGATGCATTGACTATTAACTTTAGACTTTAGACTTGAGGAGATTTTTATTCACCAAGTACAAGAAAACAATGCATTTCAGTTGTTCTGGTGTTGGCATAAAGAAGAAACAACAAACACCTTGAGATGTGTGTAAATAATTCATACTTCTAATCTGCAATTATGCAGTACATTGATTATAAACATTGAAATGCTGCGAAAAGGTTTCCATTTCCAATAAATGCTGTTCTTTTAACTTTCAATTAATCAAAGAATCCTGAAAGAAAATTTCTTGTTTTATATAATAATAATAATTTTACAACAATTTTAATAATTTAAATGTGTTATGATGCTGAAAATAAATTGCATTTTAAAATACACTCAAGTAGAAAGTGGTTATTTTAAATTGTATTTATAGTTCACAATATTATAATTCTACTGTATTATTTTTAAACAGATTTGTATCAGAAACATTAAAACAAATACAAAATTATATTTTACAATAAAATAATTAATTATTAATATGAATCAAATATATGTATGTATATATATATATATATATATATATATATATATGTGTGTGTGTGTGTGTGTGTATATATATATATATATATACATATATATATATATATATATATATATATATTAGGGCTGTGCAAAAATTAATTGTGATTAATCGCATCCAAAATAAAAGTCTGTGTTTACATAATATATTTGTGTGTGCTGTATATAATTGTTTTGTATATATAAACACACACGTATGCATGTATATATTTAAGAAAATGTGAAAATATAGAAAATAATTATAGACAGCACACACAAATATATTATGTATACACAGACTTTTATTTTGGATGCGGTTAATCGCAATTAATTTTTGCACAGCCCTAATATATATATATATATACATATATATATATATGTATATATATTTATTTGCTTGTACAGTACACACACACATATATTATTTCAAATAATACTATTTCAGACAGTAATAGTAATTGACAATATTACAGTTTTTGACATTTTAAATAATGAAAAATGTTTCTTAATACATAATAAAATGAAATAATAGCATTATAATAAAAAATAATAAAAATTAATAAAATATGATTATATATTTAAAACTATTGAAATATATATATATATATATATATATATATATATATATATATATATATATATATATATATATTTAAAATACCTATTTAAAAGGTATTTTAAATGTATAAAAACAATTTCAAACGTACTATTTCTAATGTAATATTTTTTCAAACAGTAAGAATAATGGACAATATTACTGTTTCTAACTGTATTTGTGAATACTTAAAAATATATATATATATATTTAGTCTATTGTGATGCTTTGTTTATTCCATATGAAATCTTGCTGTTCTTCCCACTGGAATATATTAGGATTGTGGAAATATAGAGGCATGATTTCACAGTTATTGTAAATGATAGAAAAGGTCAAAGTGTTTAAACATCATACTTTCGCTTCCAACCTCCGTTTTTTCCTGTTTTCTGGAAATGCTGATAAAATGGCACTCAGTTATTGTTCAATAAAAATTTATTGCTGGTTTATATAACAGTGACAAACACAAGAAGGTGGGATATTAGAAGCTCTGAAAGCCAGTGTCACCTCTGACTCTACAGTGACATGCTGGAGGTTTATCATCTGAGGAAAAGTTTTTGTTGAGTTTCTATTAAAATCTATAAAATGTCTAGAAGAGGTTGTCGTTTGTCGTCCACGGAGATTCTGCTCACAACACTGTTTGTTGTGCTGTTTGTGGTTTGCGTGGGACTAAGTGTCGTTTCTTGGCTCGCACTAGACAACAAAGGTATGAGACTCCATTTCAGATAAACAATACTGAATATTGATGTTCTGTAGACCCCTGTTTCATTTATTTTTTTATATATTATTTTTTTTAGCTATAGATGGTGAAGGAGAGCAAACCGGCTCAGAGTTCACTGGGAGACTTGTCATCTCTAACGGAACGGTTTTCACAGACGAGCTCCTGAACAAAGACAGCGCACGGTTTAAAGCTCTGGCATATGACACTGAGCAGAAGGTGAATTAGCCATTTACTTCATAGTTATTATTCCTGGAAGGTTTAAAAACAGTCAAAATTAGGGCTGTGAAGCGATTAATCGCATGTTTACATAATTTGTGTGTGTGTAATGTGTATAATTATTTTGTATATATAAATACACACATGCATGTATATATTTAAGAATAATGTGTTATTAATATATCAAATATTTATATTTATGTATAATATGAATTTTGTATAAATATATATAAAGTATTTACATGCAAATATCTCTTCAATATATACATGCATGGGTGTGTATATACAGTATATATACAAAATAATTATACACATTTTTACATAATTAAACAAAACGTACATTTACAAATGTAGAAACAGTGAAAGACAAATGTATGAAATCACCATACATTTATTTTATGTGTCTTATTTGTTCTAAAACCTTTCAAGACTGATTTTAATGAATCATTACACTAATTGTTTACTGAAATTGCTTGATAAAAGTTAAAAAGGAAAATCATGATTGAAAAAAAAATAAAGGGAATGGGAAAAACTCCTCAACGGTGAAACAACTGGGTGCATTAGGCTACATAAATTAAAAATACATTTTTGTCATGAAAATGTCTCAATGCAAATATGAAAATGTTAATAGTAGCCTACATAAAAATCTTATTCATAAAACAATTTTAAATATAAGCATATTTTCACGAGATAAATCATTATAATGGTTAAAAAAAGCTGTATTTTGATTTTTTTTGTGAAAACATCTGTGTTCTAAATGCAAATTTTCTACAGCTGTGACTAACGTTTGTATATTGTTATGCTACATACCATTTCATTCTGTAAGTTATTGGCTGACGAATATGTTTTATCTCAGTATTTTAGTGTGATAAAGCAGGTTTTGCGTTCTCTGTGTATTGCTGCTTGCAGATCAGTGAAGCCTATAGTCTTACTTCCCTTAAGGAGCAGTTCAGAAGTTCCAAGGTCAATGAATTCAGGTGAGTCAATAAAGTTCATAATCTATTATATCATGTGCATGTATTTAGATTCTAGACGCTTCTATGGTGAAGTGCAACATGTTCCTGAATCAACATGTACATTCCAATCAGATGAGGGACATTTGTACAGTTTATGTTAAGTTTAGGCATAAAACCAGGGTTAGGTGCTTTAAGGGATTATTTCCCTCTGATTGTTGGGAAAGTCGTGGGTAGGTTTGGGTTTGTTGTTCCAGGATCAATACCAGGAACATGTCTGTCTTGGCAAAATCACGGTGACCAGACGTCTAGAGATCAGGAATATACATTTTTCAAATAATTGACAGCTTTTATGAAATACCTGCAAACATGTAATAGGGTAGTCCGTCTATCTCGTCTAAGTATGGAAGCTTGTTTCTGCCACAGAATGAAAAATAAAAAAGGTAATTGCGACTTTTTATCTCACAATTCTGTCTTTTTTTCTCACAATTAAGAGTTTACATCTCGCAATTCTGACCTTATTTCTCAGAGTTGCGTGATATAAAGTCACAATTGCATTTTATAAAGTCAGAAATGCATGATATAAATTCAGAAATGTGTGATATTAAGTCGGAATTCGGAGACATAAAGTCGCAATTGCGTGTTATAAAGTCAGAAATGCATGATATAAATTCAGAAATGTGTGATATTAAGTCGGAATTGCGAGATATAAAGTCGCAATTGCGTGTTATAAAGTCAGAATTGCGTGATATAAATAGTCGGAATTGCGTAATATAAAGTCACAATTGCGTTATAATGTTAGAATTGCAAGATATAGTCAGAATTGATTGATATAAAGTCGCAATTGCATTATAAAGGCAGAATTGCGAGATATATAAACTTTATAAAGTCAGAATTGCGAGATATATAAAGTCAGAATTGTGAGATATAAAGTCGCAATTGGGTGTTATAAAGTCAGAATGGCGTGATATAAAGTCACAATTGCGTTATAATGTTAGAATTGCAAGATATATATTCAGAATTGATTGATATAAAGTCGCAATCGCATTATAAAGGCAGAATTGCGAGATATATAAACTTTATAAAGTCAGAATTGCGAGATATATAAAGTCAGAATTGCGAGATATATAAAGTCAGAATTGCGAGATATATAAAGTCAGAATTGTGAGATATAAAGTCGCAATTGGGTGTTATAAAGTCAGAATTGCGAATTGATTGATATAAAGTCGCAATTGTGTGTTGTAAAGTCAGATTTGCGAGATATAAACTATTCTGAGGGGAAAAAAGAAAAAACTTAATTTCTCAGAATTGCGACTTTATATCTCGCAATTATGAGATAAAAAGTCAAAATTATTTTTTTCTTTTTTTAATTCAGTGGTGGAAACAAGCTTCCATACTATTATTCTTAAATTAAATATCTAAGTTTGGCATCCCACTCGGTCAGAAATTCTGAATTAAACGTGTATCATAGGCACACAGTAGTGATTCAGGATAAGACAAAAACACGGTTTGGAAGATGGATTCATGATGTACTCGCTCGTTATCCACATTTTGTCAGTTTTGAATGAAAAAAAGTTACATGGTGTGTATTTTTATATGCATTGTGTATAAAGATATATCCCTTTAAGGATATATTCTCTAAAAATATCTTATTTTATATAGTTGTGCTTCTCAAGTAGTGTCAATGTCTGTCACCAGTTTAATGTGTGTTTTGTTCTCAGCGAAGGCAGTGTGGTTGTGCTCTTTGACGTCCTCTTCCGTGGCGTTCTAGATTCAGAGACGGCGCAGGAGCAGTTAGTTGGTGGTTTACAGCAGGGTGAAGGTGGAAATGATGGACTCGTAATTGACATCAGCAGTGTGCAGGTCTCAGGTAATATCATCAATATCATAATCATCTGAAGATCTGCGTCTGACCATGTATTCTTCATTTAATTAGTTCATTTAATAGGCAATCGTGGTTTAAACTATTGTTCAGATGATTGTTTAACAGTTCTAATATTTACCCTCAGATAAACCAACTTCAACCCAGAGACCAGGTGGGTTATGTTTTATGTTTTATTGCTGTGTGTGTGTTATTGCAGTGTGTTCTGTGAGGTCATCATGACATGGTAACAGTGACAGATGTCAGTTCTGGTTGGTACAATTGTATTTAATCCATGCTATGAAAAGCTAAAAAAAAAAAAATGTTTATATAAAATAAATATAAAAACATGGATTTTTTTTTTTTAGCAACACCAAAATATTTGGTTAAAATACATTTGTATAAATGTATCA